ATTCATTTTCTTTCTTGGTAAGTTCACTAGATTGGCAAAGCAAATTACAGAAAATGATATTTTATTAGAAACCAATATTACAGTGCCCTTTCAATGAGATAAGGTACTACATAATTCATCAAAAGCATTTCATACCCTGCTTGACAATGTCCGCGTCATAAACTTAGTGTATGCATTCAACTTTTCAAATGCTTTATTAGTAAATGAAAAGACCAAACTAGCTTATTGCATAATATTGATAGCAATAATTTCATAAATTTCACAGAAATAAAAAAAGACATAAATGACAACCTGGATATAAAACTGGAGATTTCTGACCAAGAATGCCATATGCTCTCTAACATGCCACATTGGTTGAAGCCGCTGACGCGTCTGCTGTGTTATTGAGCCCTTATCTCGCCCCTTACGGTGTTTGGCAAAATCACTGTGACCAAGGTGCATTACAGATGCCCACAATTTCTCCAATTCCATTTGTGTCCGTTTGAGCCGCAATAAGTATTGGAAAACTCTACGGTACCTGTCAAAATATCATTTACAGATGACATGAATGATGAGATATTATCTTTGATTAAGCATTCCAAATTTCAAATAAATTGATTATGAGTAAGTTCAAAGTCTAAAAACATGAACTAATTTCTTATTAATATTAAAATTTATGAACATGACCTACATGATGTGAAATTAAGATCCAAAAGTGGAATTTGTTGAAATGCTTATTTTAAAAAAATTTGATGGATAGTTTACCTTCTTCTAAAGCTCAGTTGTCTCAAACTCAGTATATCAAGTTGAAAACAATAAATTAAACCCTCCCAAGATGTTTAACAGTGTAATTTTCATCTCACTCTTTGCAATGGGGTTAACAAAGATTGATGCTATATACAATGAAACAACTTAGAAAAGAAAATAATCCACTTCAAGCGGCAGGATAAGAGATTTAGAATCTTACATAGAGAGGACTTCTTGAGTGAAAAACAAATGCAAAGGCCAATCAACAGAGTACTCAAGAGCAATGCCATCCCATCCATCAAGTGACAATTCTGAAGAAGCATTTGAAAGTGAAGAACCAGAACTAACATCTGCATAAGCTGTTGCCTTTGGCAAATCTGATTGGGAAGATTTGACTGAAATTCCAAAAGAAGGCATCCTAGAAGAGAAGAAAGACAATTCAGCGTACATAATTAATAATTCCTCAAAACAAAATCACATGAATGAAAAACAAATGAGTTTGAATTCCAACCGCAAGGATACTTTAGGGAAGTATTTGTCTTCTTCGCCAATAGTTTTTATTGCAGCCTACAAAGTCAAGAAATTTCAATTACCCTGCTTACATATGATCATGAGAACACTGAGCCATAAGTCATTAGTTAGACAAACCAACTGAAAAGGGACCATAAGATCTGCTTCAGCAGTTGATTGGCGTGGTGGCAATCGCATTAATTGGCGACTTTCCTCAAGGAAACACTACAGGGAAAAATTATCATGAGTCATGAAAAGATGTCAACGAACAAGCTCATATGGGGGAAAAGCCAGAGGAAGTACGTTATCAAAACCATTTTCTCATGGATAAATAGTTGAAATTGAAATTTCAAAACACATCCTTTTCCCCTCTACTTTCTTACGTGGTGACTAATGAAAATTTGTAGACTCCTTTTTCTCTCTCCAGACAAACAAAATTGAAAATAAATATCATATTTCTCAAAATGAAGTGCGGATTGACTTTCACCGGAAAAGAAAAAAGTGCAGATTGAATTATAAATGAGTGCATGCCAAGACACTAGATATGCAACAGTTCATAGTTTACCTGAAAGAAATCTCCTTTTGCCAAAAGAAAATAGTCTTTAAGGGCCTTCAGGTGGCCATTCAAGTCAGCTCGTACCACAACAAGCTGCAAAGGTGAAGAAAATAGATATTAATGGTGGCTCCAAACATAATTGCACCAATTAATGACCATATGAAACTTAAAATCTTTATGTTATGCACCTGCCAAAGATGACTTGCGGCTATAGTATGAATAGAGTCAACAGCACATTCGAATGATCTTTTGTGAAACTCAGACGATTCCTATAAAAAGTTAACCATTAGTTTTCCTTTAGGCGGCTAATTGTTATAGTCAGTGGGGTAAGAAAATCTTAACGAGACAGCACATTGATCATTAACAGGTGAAATAGAAGACACAGCACAGTAGCATGAAAAAACCTTTAGGTCTAGAAGCATGGCTTCAATCTTATCTGCCTCAGACTGTGGAAGCAAATCTTCTCCCAGTCCTTGACTATTTACAGCCTCCTTTAGGAATGGAAAGCGCTCTGCTAATCCTTGTATTTTCTGAAAGCTCTTAGGAAGTTGGTGATATACAGCAGTACCAGACTGAAAGGCAGGAGTTGGGTTCCGTAGAACCCTAACAGCTTTACCAGCAAAAAGAATTGATTCAGCCACACGCATTGGTATATATTCTGGAAGCATATCCTGCAAGGAAGAAAAAAAAAGTCCAGTCAAAAGGACAGCTGCATTTCCCATTTGCCAGAAAATTAACGCTGGTCATATCCTTTGCAAAGGATTAAAAAAAAAAAAAAAAAAGGAAATTGGCAAACGAAATGAACTTCACTTGTCAAGAGTTATCAACAAATAATGAGTCAGTACCAAGGAAATATGAAACCCCAAGTGCCAATCTGTTAAAGTTGCATCATCGGTTGACAAGTGGGCCAACTTTCCGGCAATGTCAGGATGATATGAGCCTTGTTCTCTATCTCTATCTTCTTGCCTGAAAAATAATTGATTCAGTTCAACAGATAACTCAAAGGAATTAAAAAATGGACAGCAGAACTTGATATATCACAAATTTTATATAGGGACACACAAATCATAAAAACTGTGGGGAAAAAAATAATAAAGCAAAACAACATATTCAACTTTAACTGGTTTTCATATACTCTTAACACGATTCCCCTGAGATACAAGATATGTGTACATAAAAGTATTGAACCACACATAGTAACAGTTTACACACAAAGAGTGATAATGAATTACCTCCTAATGAAAAACTCTCCATGCTGATCTTGAAGGATCCCATAAACCATCCATGATGCTAGCTGCTTGTACATAACCTGATGCCCCTGCCAAAGAAGCCTAAGCTTTGGGGAGAGGGAATTAAAAACAAAAAAGCAAAAAAAAAGTGAGTAATGGTTTGAAGCGTGATCAGTTCAAAGTTGAAAACTCCAATAAACATATTCATCCCAAGAAGATATCATCTAACAACGTGCAACCCAACGTGGCATTCTTTAGTAGTTGTCCTTCACTCCTATAATTTTTCTAGGAGGAGCAAGGATTCAGCAGCTAAAAGTGTAATTTTTCTTCACTAATTAAATCTCTGAACCCATAGAGATCAGATAGCTGGAAAAGGCACAAATACTTGTGACACTGAAGAATAATTGTATACCTTTTAATGCAAGCCTGTAATTCAGGCACTCCACAATGACATCTCTTGTGTAAAAGATTAAGAAGCTGACCGCCGCGGATATTATCACGCTCAATTTCTAGAATGAGCTCGTATAAAGGTGGCAACAGAACAAAAAACTGGAAATCATATCAAAACCAATTAACAAAAGATCATGTCGAAACTATAGGAAATTGTTGTGCAAAAGAAATTCAAAATTACCTTATTAAGGCCTTGAGTAACGGTTGCCAAAATAGGCATGGTTTCAGACAACAGCTTCTGCTCAAGATGCAGAACAGCAGACCTATAAATTGACAGTACCTCAAGAATGCCATTAGCTAAGGCCCTACGATAAACACTCGGCTTTTCGGCTTCCCCCTCCGACGCCTCAGGGATGACACCCAAAGAATAAGCATTCGCAGACCTTATCCAACATAAATTCCTAGACTTGGTAGCAAAACGATCCAGCTCTCTGTAATAAAATCCCAAAGTGATGATCTTCTCAATGAGTTCTCTGCAACCAAAACATTAATTCGAATGGTAAAAGGCGAAGATATAAATGTTGCACTCTCACAATTGTTCAGGAAAGAAATTCATCAAAAACCCTATAATGCAGACATTCTAGAGTTTAAAAATTTGGAAAAGGAGGGAAATTGAAAAGATGGTGCGAACCTATTACTGGGTTCGATAAAAGAAATATCGGGAGCGAGCTTGAAAGTGCATTCATCGGAAATTGAACTGTTAGAGGAGAGTTGCTCTCTCTGATCGATAATCAAGTCGCCAGTGTAGCCTAACAGTGAAAGAAGCAGCTCGTGAAACATTCTTCCTCTCAGACCATGCGCGCGCTAGAGATGCAAATGTGGGGAACTGAACTTGCCGAGTATTGAAAAAAAGAAAAAAATTTGTATCTTTTTAGAGAGAGAGAAAAAAAACAAGGGCTAATAATATAATGTCTCTCAAATTTATTCTCGCTTTAGTTTTGATCTCTCAAGTTTTAAACTATAAGATTTTTTTTTCAAGTTTTTTTTAATTTAAAACAGATTCAATAAATACCTGGACCATATTCCCTTTGAAAGAATCAAAACCTATAGTTTGAAATTTAAAAATCTAAAACTAAAATGAGAACAAATTTAAGGAACTAAATATTATATTAACTCAAAAAATAATTATAATCTGGTACACTTGGTTTTATTTTACCAACAATTGCCGCGGTAGATCAGCTGGTTTATTTATTTATATGAATAAATAATGAATAAAGCTTTTAATAAACAACTAAATATGGATTTTTATTTTTTTCCAGTAGCAATTTTAATCGCAAACTTTATTACTTAAGTGATTCATTAAAGAAGTAATAACCCATCAAATAACCCAATACCCCAGCGTGCTGCAAAAAATTGTTTGGGAGAAAACTGGGAATTTTTCAAATAAAATCTCCAACAATACAATCGCCTATAAGAAATATTGGCTAAATTAAAATAAATATAAAGAAAGAAATGCAATAGCATAGAGGCTCTATGGACTATTGAGAAAATTGTAATTATTGTCTAAATTGTGCCTAGGTCGTTGAAAATCCAAAGCACCCCGTCAATCATGTCAACCCCTTCTATCAGTGGCTCATGTTTGCTGAAATTTAGTAAATTCAGGGACTGAACATTAGGATTCAAGTCCCCCAAATTAGAATCTGACAGCTTCCCTTATTGCCAAAATTTAGGGTGTGTTTGGGTGACACTCCAAACCATGGTTTGGGGACTTAAACCATGGTTTGGAGAATAAACTACCCAAAAACCAAAACTATGGTTTTGGAAAAAGTAAAAAAATTTTATTTTTGAAAAAAAAAAAAGAGAATGTGAAAGTCTATAGGATATGTATCTTGTTTTTTTTTTTATAAACATATTTTTTATAAACATATTTAATCTTATATTTTATAAATATATATACATATTAATTATTTATTAATTATATTATCTTATGTATTATTAATTATGTTAATAAAAAATATATTATTAATAATTTTATTCCTTCAAAAAAATATATCATAAAATCTATTTTTTTTGTAATTATCATATTAACTTATATCTTTTTTTTATTAATTTGTATATATAAAAAGTGTTTCTGATAACAACTATCCAAACACTCTCACTTCTCAAAATCACTTTTTCATAAAATCTATTCTTTCCAGAATCTATTCTTCCCAAAATCTATTCTCCAGAATCACTTTTCTAAACCACAGTTTGGTTTCATCCAAACACACCCTTAGGGGTAAATAAGAAAACGCAAAAACAAATGAAAAAGATCAGCGTTTCAATGAAGGAGGAAAAATTACTACAGAATTACATAACTAAAAATTTTCGCACACGAGGAAGAGATTCTTAACGCTGCCTCGAGGATAAAAGACATCTCAAATTCTCGAGTACCAAGAAAAACACTGTAAAAACAAATCAGTTGGTTGAAAATTTAAAACTGAACAATACAAGGAGCGCTTGTTCTCTCAATCTTATTTTCTTATCATTTTCCTTTGTGCACCAAGCTTCGCGAATGAATAACGCCCGTGCTTCTTGCCAATGCTAGCTATCTGGCCTTCTCTTTACGCCACATGACCTCAACTTCTTTCCCAAACATTGAAAACTGGGAATGTTTCAAGAACTGCAATAATAAAACTCTCAAATTACACCTTGACCCGACGGTTAGTCTTTGTCTTTTTCATGGTTTTGCCACCACTGCCTTTATTTTTCAACTTAGGCTTCTCCACACCCCGCCCCGTTTTTTCAAGCGGGTCCTCAAACTCTATTGGCTTTATAATAACGCCAGGCCTCTTTACCACCTGCACAAAACCAGTAGAAGAATAAGTTATGCTAGTTTCATAGTGAGAACTGAGAAAGCCATTTGAAGACAATCTAGTTACGTGTAAAGCGCATTTTTGCTATCCATCCAAAACAAGAAAGCAAAGCCACATCAGAATGTTCCCCGCTAGATTTTGTAATCACAAAAATTGAATCCTATCGTGCAAGGTAGGTTCAAGGATAGCCAGCATGCTAAGGAAATATCCTGAAGTACTTACTTCAGGCCGGTTTAGAGCCCCTGCTGCAGTTGCTGGATTGAATTCAGGTCCAATGGGCATGCGCAGACTCTGATCAAATACCTCTTGGGACGTAAAAGGGTAAGGTAATGCTTTTGTATGAAGCTTCTCAGCCTGACATATCAAAAACAAAGTTATTAACTTCCTTAAGTTATATGAAAAGGATTAAGCTCAAAAGCTGAACATAATAACAAGTACACTAATCAGACCCCACAGACCTGTTTGGTTCCGTTGAGGAACACAGATTCCATTTTCAATACATAGAAACACAAGTGTCATTGTTTGTCTACAAAAACATTTTTTGTTCTATTTTCCGTTCTTCTACCAAAATGAAATGTGCCGTGCACAGAACTCAAACATCGTGGCCTTACAAATTAAAATCCTCTGAAATCACAAATTAACTGCATATAATGCAATCAAGAATACGCAAAAAAAAAAAGGGGAATGCGTGTAAAAAGGGCTAGATCCTATACATATTCTCATTTGCGTCATACTCCCCACATGCGACTATAAAACAGTAAAAAGATTCAATTTCCGGCTATGTGGTAAAAGAGAAGGAAACAGAATCCAACCACGAAATCTCGCATCAATGATCAAAACATAAAATCTTTTGAGCTTTTAAAGTAGCCATTAGATTCTTAATTTTCCCTTGATTCCAAACACTCATTCAAAATCCAATGGTCAGACATTATTCCTCTCTCACTTGGCGAAAAAATGCTCTCGCTACATATGCCCCCTCTAGATGCATGTGTGTGTTCTATATCTTTGGTACCACGCCAACTGCCTTGAGCGAACACCACTATGTGACAATAGGCCCATCAAAGATAACTCCTCAAACTAATTGGAGAAAGCCATTGAAGATATGCAAACGATCAAACTGAATAAAATCATCTGGACACAAATAAAGGCTCCTAGAAGCTTCTAATTAAGTCTACTAACCTTTTTATCAACTTTCTCAGAGATAATCACGTGTTTTAAATGAGCATCTTTTCTCTTCTTCAGAGCTTCTTCCCGTTTTTCCTTGGCAATATCATGCTCTTTCAGCATCCAAGGTGGCAAACCTTTCTTTTGCTGTATATCTGTCCATTGGCCCCAGCCAGGGACAAGTAGAGGCTTTTCTGGCTCAGGATTCTCTTCATTGAGAATATCTTGTTTGTCCTTCTCAAAATCATCCTCCACATCATCACACGCAAAAGCTTGCCGAATGAGCTCCTCTTGAGACGGAAGTTTATATTGAAGTTTCGATCCAGAAGACAAAATTCCATCCACCATATGTCCTTCACTATCTGTATCACTAACCTCTTCAGATTCTTTTTCAGCATCCTAAGCCATTTATAAAACAAAATAAGGCACTGAACCAACAATACATCAGTTGGTTTTAACAAATGGAAAGAGTACATACTTTTAATTCTTGCCTAACAGGCCCTGTAAGTGTCAGAGATTTCTTGTTGTCAGCGTCTTTGTCACTTTTATTTTTAGCCTGCTCATTCCAAGCACATTAGGCTCAACACCTTTTATATGGAAAAGAAACATGAGAGGGAAAAATAATGCTATGCGCATGAAACCTTTTTCCACGTATCTGATGCAAATATGGCAACTTCATAGGTGGTTTTATGCCCAGGATCTTTAATAATCTCATTGAAGTTCTGTAAAAAATTGATAACATGTTAGATTCTTAATTATTTTATATCTATCAAGCACAAACCTACACCTAAGAAGTCAGAAGAAACAGGAATTTCCATCACCTTAAAGACAGAATCCTCATGAGTATCAGTGTCTTCCTGAATTAAGACAGGATCACTCATTACAACATTTTGCAAATTATTACTTCTGTCATTCACCATATCACCGTTTTCTCTGGCCTCTAACCCATCTTCACTATCACTGCTACCATAAAAGTTATCAGATTTGATCTTATCATTTGCAGCAGGAGTCTGGGATTTAGCTGTGCCAAAAACCCTTCTACCACTGACAGAAGCAATTTTCATATCTTCTGAGTGACTAGGATTCTCCAAATTCTTCAAAGAATTATCATATTCTTGAAGAGCAAGTTTGGCTCCTTCAGCAGCTGCCTCTCTTCTTTTTGCCAACGCACGCCTCTACATCAGAACAAACCATGGGGAGACCAAAAATATGCAATAAGAATTTACTGAATAAAACACTGTCAACTCTAGATTTAACACCAAAGAATATAACAAGACAAATTAGAAGCCTGAAACATATGCTCCTTCAAGTGAAGAAACAATCTAAAAGTGAATATATGCAGAGAATTTTTCCCATAGCCTTAGCTACAAAATGATTACATTAAAATTGTGAGAGGAGAACTTGTGGGAAGCTACAAAGAGCTCAATGAAAATATCTTTACTATTCACTCAAATTACAAATTACGCTACACTATTTTGGCTTTTCTTCTCTTAATTCTCACATCACTCACCCTCACACTTCCTTTAGTTTTACATGACACACATTGTACAGCACTTCACAACACACCCTATAAACATATGCATTGATATGGCGCCCTATAATTTCTTTTTACTTCTATTACATATAATAATCCCTCCAGTCATAAACATAAGATCTAGTTGAGGGATTTGTTTTTGTTCTAAATATAGGATCTCAATCTTCTTTATTTCCTTCATTTAATATTTTTTCCCCCTCACATTACCCTTATTAGCTTCAGTTTTTCTTACTCTCTTTGTTTCCCATATTTAATAACCTCATTATAATAGGAGTATTTTAGGAAAACTGATGCATTTTTAGATAATAATGGCAAATAACCAACTTTACTAATTTTATTAATATCTGCGAATTAGTTAACCAAATCTTATATTTAGAGTCAAAAGAGATAACATATTAATTACAAACATGATCCTAAATATAGATTACCCTCATATTATTAACCTTAAATATCCTAAACTTCTAAATACTAACCAAATTAATTCAGTGCAAGATCCTAAAAATTATAGAAGGAAATTAATGAGAAAAATCCAAAAAAGAGAGGGATAGTTGGTGATTATTCTTAACACAAAAAGAGGGCAATAAGCAAGCCTTTCAGAAAAATTAGAAGTAAATCACTACAATTACCATAAAAGGTAGTGAAGGCAATCCTGAATCAGGAACTTCATCTTCTTCTTCTTCTAGTACTTTCATTGTTTTATCTTTTGCTTTCTCCAACAGCTTGGAGGCCCTGTCCCTATCAGAGACAGCTAAGTTCTCATCTGCATCATCATCATCACTAGTATCATCACTGCTGCTGCTGCTATCCTTCATAGAGTTCATTTTTCTAGTCAATTCAGCATGCCTTCGGAGTTGTTCAGCAACGGCAGCACGAGTTCCATCATCTTGGTTATTTAAACCACGTGCTAGAATACGCTTAGCCCACTGGTTTTGGTTTTTATGTTTCAGAGTCATGCGTTCCTGAAACAGGATGGAAAGTGATAAGTATATCAGATACTTTTTCTTAATTTCATTATAAATATACATGTGTAGGGAGATGACAGCAGGTAAGCAAAGATCCTTTATTCTTTATCCACCAAAGATGTTAGGATTTTTAATTTTAGGAAGCAATGGAATACCTCTGCTCTCAGACGCTCCTGTTTCACAGCAAATTCTTTAGCAGCTTCAGGGTCCACTTCTATCTGAGCAGATATTGCCTTAATTCTATCTTTCTTCAGCAAACGATGGTATGTTTTAGACTTGATCTTTTTTATATGCTTTGCTTTCATTTCATGACGAAATAGAAGGCTACGCATTTTAGCAATCCGATTTCGCCGCTCCTTTTCGTCTTCCACAGAGATCTGCCAGGTCAGGTATCACAAGATGCATAATGCAATTAGAATGTTCCCGTGACCTAATATCTTGATTCACAAAATTATAGGTCATTTAACCAAATACATATTCAATGATCAGCTAATCATAACATACTCAATCATCTACGGTGTACGATATCCATACCTCGTTTAATTCAAGAAGCCTTGAACCATCCTTTTTATGAGCTTCCATAAGCTCATCATCACCAACTAGTGCAGCTATTTTCCTCTCAAACTCAGTCCTGGGCTCAAATTCAGAAGCTATTGCTCCTACAGTTGAAAACCCCAAATCTATGTTTTCATCAAATAAAATAGTAGGTGCCTCCCGGTTTCTCTTGATAATGGGCTCCCACTTTGTAATGTCTTTCTTCGACAGTTCATATGCTACCTTTCTCTCAACCTTTGCTTGATCTGCCTTTGGAAGTGGAGCATGAATGGTTCTAGCATTCTTCCCCGCTTGTTGCATACTCTTTCTAAGTTTGCTATAACCAGATTTCCCAAGAAGAGGATCCAGAAGGTCACTGCCGATGAGTCCATCACCATCAATAATATCATGACTAGGATTATATAACTCTGGTATGACATCATCCTTTCTCTTCTTCCTCCTTTCTGCATTGTTGTTAAATTTGCAAGTGCATATGAGTTCGAAAAGAAAGACAGAATCTAGAAACATCAAAGCATAGCTCTACAAATCAAAGTAATTGTTATGTTATATGTATATGCCTCTAATTCAAAAAGAGCTTAAAAATAAAATAATTCATAAACACAATAGTCAGAAATGTGTTCAGAAATTTTAAGATACACATAAACAGCTTCTACAATTCTTCTATAACACATGATCAACAAACTTCTATCATTTGTATCCCCAATAATTATTTCCATTACCATTTTTTCTTGCATAACAGAAAAGTTAAAACCAACTATCGCACCTTCAAAAGCCTCACTTGGCATCCCAGTAATTCCTTGCAACATTCTCGTATGCCTTCCATCATCTTCTTCTTCAGAATTATCACTCATGGCCTTTGCATCCTTGGTTCCCCAGTTGTCACCATCATCCAAATTCTCATCATCAGATTCCAGATCCTCATCCTAGATAAAGAAAGAAAAAGATCAACGGCGATGAATGATAAATCTATGATGACTACGCTTCATTAAAAACTTACCAATCAACAAAGAAACGAAGAAATGCAAACCAAGTTAGACACTTAGAAAGCATCTAGCTAAAGGACATAAATTGTTTACTTGCAATGCAATGTCCTGAGTAGCATAAGACTCAGATGTCAATTTCCAATGCCATGGTTTCATTAGTGTCACTATTCCCCTAGTACCATAGTACCTTATCGTTTGGTGTCCCCACAGACTATTTCTCCTGAGCATAAAAAAAATATTCTGACATTATACAACTATTTCACATCAAAATTAACAGGACCCATTGATTTTCATCCATTTCTGGTGGAAATAACAAGGGGACTCGGCTGAAAATAGAGTTATGAAACAAGGCATTAATAGAATATGGAAGAGGAGTAGAATTCAAGCTCAGGCGGCAAATTAAGACAAATGCGCACATGTGTGTGTGACAGGTAATATTCATTTCAGAGCTGAGAGGTCGAATTAAATTCAAAAGAAAATTCCTAAAGCAACTCGAGCAACAAAATGTCAAACCGAGGATGAACCTTCTTTTCTAAGAACCAGATCAGTAATGACATGTAAAACTAAGGGCTTAACTAGGAGTCGCGAAAAAAGTCAGGTGGCGTAGCATGGAATGTGGTGAGGGAAACAAAGGAAGTTAGCGATAAAAAGTTTGTTAGTGAATGAAAAATATCAATAAATTGATGAAGTGAGTTTGAAGAAGGAAATTTCCGAAATGTTTCCCTTTCAAATACCTGGCAAGCAGAGAATTTTAAAAATTAAAAATAATTTTATATTAAAAAAAAAATTCAAGAGAACCCACAACACCCTAAATCATTAGCCCCGTTAGCTTTTGAACATTCGATAGGTGGTTTTGGTCCCATAATCAACCCTCCACCCCCACCTGCATACTACTCGCACATCATTTTTCCCAATCAAACGCTGGTAATGGAGCAAACTTTCTATGTTATTACAGTTCAGCGTGAATCTGCTTATCTTTATAATGATTCACTCGATTTACAAGTTATTAAGCTCCATGACAAAAGCACTCAATTCAGAACAGAGGCAGTTCAATCACAATCCTAACCCTTCCATCAAATGGAACAAACTTTTGAATCTCGGTGCCTGAATCCTCCAAGGAATTCCCTATCTCTCTCACACGCGCACGACAGACAAACAAAAGGGTGAGCAAATAAACCCCCGGGGGGGTGGGGAGTTCCAGTTCCAAACCTTGAAGTCCTCAGACAGATCATCCGGCAGCTCATACTCGAACTTATACACCCCAACCTGGTCATAGCGCTTGTTTTTCTGAGACTCCTCTTCGGCTCGTTCTTCATCCAACTCGTAAACATCTTTGCCGTAAATTTCTCCGCCTTCAATGTAATGATCAGAGGCAATATCTTCATCGCTATTCAGGGCGGCAGTTGGGTTTAAGCGTTCAATCTCTTTTTGCAATGATGAGGGTAAGCGGGGGCCGCTCTTCCTCCGTCGGCCCCCGTTCTTCGATTGAGCTCTGGAATTGGAAGACTTCTGCTTATTACTGTTCTTCTTCGACTTCTCTCTTCCCCTGTTGCCATCGTCCCTGCGTTTTCTCTTCGTGTCAGCCATATGGTTGCCGCGCCGCGCGAGACAGAGTTTTCCCAGAGGCGCTCACGACCAGTATTGAGATTGGAAGACGTCTTAAGGCCGTGTCGAGTTCTGTTTGAGCATTGGCCGGTATGCAAAACGGCGGTTAGGGCTTCGGAGCCGTCCCCCCAGTTTAGTAACCTTTTTTCGAGCGAAGAATGTTTTTGGCTGTTTGGGAAGTTGGTAAATGATCATCAATTCTGATTGGTTGATGTCATCCAAACACGCCTTAAAATCAATTACCAATTATTCAGTTAAAATCGTAATTTATTATTAATAAGGTGTTAAATCACCTTCTTTCAGCAGCTTCTGTTATTAGAGAACAAATCCTCTCGAATTCCCCTTTCTCCTTTTCTTCTCACAAGATCTCATTTTCACTGGTAAAGAATAGAAAATAACATAGAATGAGTGGTACCAATACAAGTTTGTCTAGTTAGTAAAGAATTAGCTAGTAATATATAAAATCATGAGTTTGAATTCCGCTATTAATATGAGAATCTTCTTAATGAACGATCTGTAAGCACTTTGATATTGGTGAACCTCCGGAGTCTAACTCGTCCAAATTTTAGCATATGTACGCACACATAAAGAACGAGTGATTGATAAGTAAAACAAATAATTATCACCAACGAGGGTTAAGACTAACGAAATTGACTCATTTCTTACAATGTGATGAATTAAAGTTCGAATCTTTATTAAGAAATATACTCGTATTTAATGCTCGATTTGACCTCAAATATGATTATCTCCAATAAAATGATACATATACTTACGATTTGCTTTGAATAACCAATTGAACATTCAATAAGGATTTAATTATGGTATTGTTATATTATAACTTATACGTACATATGTACGAATTATAACACAAATCTCATATTTATCATGCCAGTTTTTTAATCACATGTGACCATTTGTTTTATTTTTTATCTAGGCCTATAATTAAAGGATATTAAATGCTGATATTTTAAAAATAGAATATATGATTACGTTGTAATTGGAAAACTTAATATAATAAATATAAAGAACTTGACATAAGAAATGTCCTAATTATGATTGTATTCCTTATTCCTTATGATGTAATAATATAATCATAAGCACATTCTTGATTGTACTACTACTATCTCCTGTCCTTAATATATGAGTTTGTTTAATTTTTAATTTGATCCTAAATATAAAATCTCAATCCACTTTGTCTTTTATATTTATCTTTTTTTTAATATAGTACTAGCAGTAATTGCACATATTAAATATTTCATCAAATGGCACTTGATTAGTAAAAATATTGTAGAAAAGATAATACCCATATATTACAAGTAACTAATTTAACTAATTTTTTTAATATACTCAAATTGGTCAATTAGCTCTTATATCAAGGATCGGAGGTAATATATGATAATATTATACTCCTCCGGTTCTTAATATATGACTCAATTCTTGAGTTGGTTTTGGTCCTAAATATAAGACTCATTTCTCATATTTATCAATTTTCTCTAAATTACTCCTATGGATACTCCCTCAACCATAATCAAGTAGAAGAGGGAAATTGGGTATTAAGAAAGATGATTATGGTGTTTTAGAAAAAATGTCACTTTTCTTATAATTAACTAACCTACCTAACTTTCTTAATCTAATCAGATTACTTAAATGGGTTTTATATTAAGGACCAGAAGAGTAATACTATAAGTATTTTTAAGGTGAAATTTCTTTAAACGGTTACAATTTATATAAAATATAATATTATAACTATAATGCATATGATAATATTGATTATAATTCAGGAAAAAGGAGATATTGTAAAATCGTGTTTAATATTGGGAAAATCTAAAAAAAGTGACTACTGAATTTTAAAATGCCACATCAGGAATTACTACAAAAATGAGTTGTCATTTACTCTTTGAATGTAGTCATTTTCTTTATGAATGTAGTGACGAATACTGATTTGGAATTTTGAAATTCAGCTATCACTTTTTTAGGATTTTCCCTTTAATATTTTCAATATTTAATTCTTCCTACTTTTGATTTTTTGATGTTTACACCTTTTTTGCCAACTTATACTTTCTATTCATTGAATATAATAAATTATATGTGATATGCACTTCAACTAGTTGTGAAATACTGTGATATAAAGGTGATGTGTTTTGTAATCATTAATTACTTAAAAATGTGTGTGATTAAAAATATTTAAATAGATCTATTTCTTTAAAATCAATTTTGATTAAAAAAATCGAAATAAATTATATTACAACGACATCAATCTCACCTAGAATCATATTTATGAAATTATTCCATCCAAACTTTATTTCTGACTCCCCATTGATGCAAACAAACTCCAAATATGCATTTATTAAAATTAGGATAAAATTTAATTAACGTAATACGATTAATATTTGAATAAATTTTTATTTAAACAGTCAATTTGACATGTAATTATTTAAATGATATGTTAAGAGCTTAGTTTCAAAAGGTTGAAATCTAAAAGAAAAGCCAAAGAGCTAAAAACTACATAACAAAAAAAAAGGTTGTAGTTTTTGATATAAAAAAAAAAATCAATTATCTCAAAAGTCATACAACAATCAAACATCATTTTTTCCATTGAGCAAATCTTGTAATCTTAACTCATGAAATTTTTTAATGCTATCTCAAACGTGCGCTGAATATTTAAGTAGCAGTATCACGACGTGGTGCAACCCATTTGAAAGAAGTGAAAAACTTATTTGATTTCACTATTATTTTGTGTTCTCAAAATAATTTTGTAGAATAATTTCCAAAGTAAAAAAATGTTTTAATCATTATTTTCAAAAATACATCTAAAATGATGAAGGAGGTGAAACACTAGTTTGCTTTATTGGCATGATTATCATTGATAGTTCTCTAATTTGATTAGAGAAAGTAATAAAATATCAAGCACATGATTTGTTTAAAACAAATTTTAGCTTTTTTTTTTCAGATTAAATTATAAAAAACACGTTTTAACACAAGTTTTTTGCTTTTCATTTTTAAAAACAGCAAAGCAAATAATACCCTAATTTTTCCGTTTGTTCACTCTCTCCATTATCTCTTTCAGCATTCTCCCCTCCATCTGTCGCGTGATTGCAGGAACAAAGAAACAGTGTCCTTTTGGCTGGCGTTCAGCTTCATCGTCCCTTCCCTTCAGCAAGACATATGAACGAACTTAAATGAGTTGAATTTAGAAACTGCAGATGCTGAGTAATTTGTATATCTCAGCATGAAAAGCAACTGCGTTTTCGCTTCCCTCATTTTCTTGATGAACAAACGGCATCCGAACAACAAGATAACGTCGAAAGAAAAGGGCCCTACCTCAAACGGAACCAGACCACGCAGGGAGCTCAAGGGAGAACACGGGTGAGAAGCCCGTGTTGGAGAAGGGGAGCACGTGCAAAGGAATCGTTGGCATTGAAGAGCCAAGAGATCTGCAC